TATATGGGCGACGAATTGACCTGTCTGGACTTCTGGAAAAATCCAGACAACGCGAAAAGCGCGCACGCTGGCAATGCGGCTGACGAGATTGTTCGTACGCACAACAATAGAGTGATGAATTGCTCACTTTCGCAATTGGAAGATGTCTTCTCTCTGTCGAGCTGAAGACGGATATATAATTCATTTTCACCTCTGCTTGGCCGCACTTACATAATTTTTCAACCGTAAAGAATTGGAGGGAATACATATTATGCGTCAAGAGAAAGGATTACATGACGCTTAGGATTTTTTAAACAATTATAAGAAGAAAATTAGATAATTAAAGAAAGAGATATTTAAATTGTTAAATAATTTGATAGAAAATTACACGGAAAAAACTGATTTAGTTGATTCAGCAAATCTATAGTTTGCTGAACAAAATTAAACGTTTTAAAGAAGTAAATTTGCTAATGCAGCAAAGAAGTCGTGTGTAAGAGCAATCGTTATTTTGTTCATCAAACAAATCGAAATTCAGTCTCGTAGGGTATAAAGAGAGGCGTGGAAGCCAGGGCAAGTATCGCATCCAAGCAATTTTTATGCATTTGGTTGCCGTCTCACAGCGGGAGGCCGTTTTTTTTTTTGTAAACCATCGGCTAAAACTGCACGAATTTTCGTCAGGAGAGACGCAAATTTGTCCAATTTTAAGCCGATGGTTTATACCCGCCTCTCTTTATACCCTACGAGACTGAATTTTGCTTCCGAGTTTTTGGCCGCCACCATGCGCGGCCTAGCGGCGGTCGGCGAACTACTCAGAGGCTGGCGCTAGCTACGTCTCGCACTTAGCGAAAATGATTTGTTGCAGTAACTAAGATAATTTCAGCAAAAATCGATTTGTTTGATGAACAAAGTAACAATTGCTCTTACACACGACTTCTTTGCTGCATTAGCAAATTTACTTCTTTAAAACGTTTAATTTTGTTCAGCAAACTATAGATTTGCTGAATCAACTAAATCAGTTTTTTCCGTGCATATTGCGATCGCCACAATAATAATTGCAGAGTAAATGTTTTAATGAGCATTACTTTACCTAATTTTAATTGTTGGCGTAACTAATAATTTTGCTATAATAGGATTTATTAATACACCTAATTTTCTTTTATGTAACAGCAAAAAAATTAGTTACATGTACCAAGCTATCTTTGCCATTGGTTGTAGTAAAGAATCATCTTTGCTCTACTAACAAATCTACCGTGCTGTAACATCAAATTTTATTAGATATAATTACTAATCCTATGCAGCTTTGCGATTTGATTACTGCATCATAGCAAACTGGCTGTCCGTATATTACGGCGGTAAATTTGCTAGACTAGCAGGGTTTTTGGTTGTCATAGCAAATCTTTTTTTTCCGTGTAAATGTACGATGCAAATCTTCATTCACTACGAATCTAAAAGGGAAGTGAAGCACACCGCGCTTCGAGATAATCAATCGGCATCGGGGAAAAGAGGCCTCAACTATTCGATATTAACGACATTCGCGCTATTAACATCTCTTTTTTAGAAAGGGATGTATATGCGAGTGAATCGTCAATCTTGATTATTGCGGAAGGATACATGCGGATATCCGTGACAACAAACATGCATATGAATATATATGTATGTGTTTGTGCATTAGTAAACTTATGACGGGGACAAATGGCGTTTTCGAAAATGCTTCAGGTGGTGTTTGCAACTACGTATAATCGCTTAAGCGGCATCGGATTAGCGTAGCATATCGGTACTTCAAGGACAAGCCCTGCTTGACGTCGCTCGAACTTGGCGCGTAGTATCGCACCCGCTTCATGAAAATTTCATAAAAATTTGCATGAATGGGATGCAGCTGCAAACACCGCGCATTATTTGTCTTTGTCAAGCCGTTCCACGGCGACTTCAGGCGAGTATTCGCTTGCATGGCCCACGCGCAAATGCATTTCCCTCCAAGAGACAACCGGTCCGTCGCAGTGATATCTTAAGTACCGTCGACAATTCTTTTCATCCCGGCCAGATCCGTCTCTGCTATCGTTCCCGCTTCCCTTCCGTAAGCATCGTTGGCTAGCGCGAATAACCGTGCAAAGAAAAAAGGAAATTAATGAAAATTGCACAGAGCGGATTTCCATGTTTCTGACATTCTGCGTATCGAGAAGCGATATTCGCGTTAGTTGCGTGCATTCATATAAGCGAATCTTTGTACTGATAATTGAAAAATAAACAGCATAATCTTAAATTACTATACAATAATGCGCGTGCATAAACTTACAATTGATTGTAATTTTTCCTGTTATGTAATCTCTTTAAAGCCGTCACTTAATTGTACCATTTCTAATTTAGTTTTATACATAACGTAATTTAAACTAAAATAACAAATATTATACAAATTCGGCTTAGCTCGCGTTGTTTTAAATTTCCGTCATTTAACGTTGATTTGGACGATGTCCTAATAAATAATTATCAATTCATTGAATTTGTTTAGTCTGTAGAAACTTTGCGAAACTATTTGTCGTGAGTCGAATATTAAATAATACCCACTGGTACGTGTAAAATTTAAATTATACAATGCAACATTAAATTGGAGGTGAGCGCACGACAATGCGAAAAGAAATCCCGACGCAAGAATGAAGAAGCGGCGAATAAAACTTATCAAGAGTCTGTCGCCGCATCGGGAGTGCAGCCGACAGCATACGAGGATTTGATTGGATAGGTCGCTCGATTGCATATTGCATTCGACGAATATCGAAACCCCTTGTGCTCAATTAAATCCACGACAGCGCGGCCGATGGAATATCGAATTCGCGGAGTTAAATCGCCGGACGGTAAAAAAGGAATAGCGCTCGCGAAATCATTTCGTTAGGGAAAAAAAACGTATGGGTGAAGAACAAGTGGGCAAGGAGGAAAAATATTGACACAATGCAGAGTGCGTCGATAATTTCGGTTTTTCTCTACGGTGTTCCCATTATGTCACACATCCCTCGAACTATTCGCAAATGGCAGTTCTTTGCCAGCACCCGTTATAACAAATACTATATTTTACCTGTCGCGCCGTCAGCACTTTCCGATACGCGAGCAAAAATAACATCAAACATATTGATTAGAACGCAGTATTAAATTCATATCGATCTTATCAATTATATTACTTTTATCGGAATCATGATAAAGTTATATAGAATTTGTATATATAAAACGTGGGATTCCTCGGGAAAGTTACTTCTATTGAATAAACCTTTCTACCACCATATACGTTCCATTGAATTTTAAAGTTTCCGTGACTCCGTAACAAAGTTTCTTTTACAGAAACTCAATGTACGCTTTTAAATTCTAAAGAAAACCATTTTGACGGTAAAAAAGATAAATCTTTTATTTAAGATATTAAATCAAATTAAGTCATTTTTCTTATTAAATAACAAAGGAGTTAAATTGAATGGTTTTTTTCATATGATGAATGCATTTATAAATATAACTTGCAGCTTCATTCAATTTATCATATCTATAAAAAAACATAAAGTTTTCATTGTATAAGCTTATTTTTCTCAAATATTCCTGAAATGCGAAGCTTAATATTGCATATTATATAACATTGTATTATCATACAATACAGCACAATGTTTCAATTTTGTAATACTCGTTATACAATTTGTGAAAATTATCGAGGCGTGCATTAGTTTGACATTTATGTATCGTTAAAAAAAATATAAATCACTGCTTGTCGATATTTCACCGATTTTTGTATAATACCGAATGACTGAATGCGTCATCGAAATTTTGGCAGGGTGGGAATTATTTGACGTGTGCGAAATGCCAGACTTTTGCTGGGAACAAAGAGAAATTAAATTATCGCCCAATTCTATGCAAAACGAATCGCTAGAGCAGGTATTACTCGGATTGAAAAATCCATCCGCGCGTCGCGACTGCGAAAGCCGCGTCAAAGCTTTAAAACAGAAAACCGATAGGAACAACGTAAAACTATCCTATGTCGATCCCGTTTGATTTCACGTACTTGCCAAACTTCCATCACTATTTTCACTGCATTGCTTATTTCTCGTCAAATCCCACCCGAATTTTTAGATATTACCTTGCCTAACAATTTTGAACTTATATCAGGATAAATGTTGCTTCAGGCTTTCAAACGTTCCGTTGCGTGTTATTTTTTATCAAAATGACAATGGAGTTAGTTTTAATATTACAATACAATTAATTTTATTGCATTGTGTTTTATTTGTCTTTGAATTACCAATTTAATTTTTAATCGCGATTTCATTATGCCTTTAAAATTAAATAAAAAAATTATTATGTTATGGCTTTGCTGTCATATTACTCTAGTACCCTATAGTTGATATTATAGCTAGACTACAGGAATTATGCTAATTCGGTAAAAAGTCAAAATCGACGGAATCGTGTCGATGATCATAAAACCGTGTCATGACACCACACGCGATTTGGAGCGTGCTGTCGATGCAGTTCTATGTATGTTCGATCCTGAACGATTCACTACGGTTCAGTGCGACTCAAGCTCGGAACAGAAGCAGCGCATCGTGACGTCAATGCACGCTTCCCTAAACCTTTGTCATCGCATTACAGCCGATCGACGATAATTTTGTTGCACTGCTCTAGAGAAAACAAAACTTGCGCGAGTGTGATTTTTGACCTGCACATTTTTACAACTCTAAAACTATTACTGTTTAATCCAGAGTTATGCAAAAATGTTATTCTTTTATTTCTCTATCTCTGCTATCCACGAGAAACAACCTATCGCCGATATCGCAATCTATGACCATGTCAGCACAAAAGCATTCTCCCTTTCTCTCTTTTTCCTTGAACCAGGCATTCCATCACACACGACAAAATCTTTTCTTTTCTCCGCCACTCCACAACCTCGAAAAAGAAAACGAGTTAATGGAATAACGTCGATCTCCAATTAAAATATCTCATAAGGAACGATAAGTCTCTCCTTATCGGTCGTAGTTATTGTTCAAGGTGAAGTCGCGATTTACCCGCCAAGAGATCGAATCTGGTTCTGCTCCTCTCGCTGTCCTCGTAGCCCTCGAGGTCGTCCTCATAATCGTCGTAATCCTCAGGGACGGGACGGTGGTCCCCGTCATTGTCGCTGACATTTCGCGAGACAAGACTGTTGCTGGGTGGACCTCTCTGAGTGGCCTGTCGGACGCGGGCCCGATGATCGCTACTGAAGAGGACCGACGGCGGCGGCGGCGTCGACAGCTGAGAGCCTTGAAGGCGACGCTGAAGGTAACGGGCCAAGAGCGCTTGTACCGCGTCTGTCTCCGCCGTGCCTGGAAGACAGAAAGAGAGACTCGCTCTCGTGATCAGTCGACAATATCTTCCCGATTTTACGATATCCCGCTGAGTCCTCGCATCCGCATTCTTATACTTTGTCTTTTTCCTCTCATCTCGTCTCAATTTTTCACCATCTATTTCTCCATTCTTTTAGCGTTTCTTTTTCTTATCGTCAGTTCTCTCTCATTTTTCTGTGATGCAACGTACTCGCATTTCCCTTTCGCGAGGTTGGAGACAAAAGAGCTGGAGGCTCAAATCGAGGTTGTTGCCTGTCGAGGGGTCCTTCTTCTTGTGTCATGCACAAAATGCATCGCGTGTGCAGCCTCGTGCAAGCGTAATGATATGCGCGATCCACACTCTGATGAAACGGGTTCGGCGATGGATATAATCCCTTCTGCACGATGGCGGATCGATAAAGAAATGAGGATTAATTAATTTCAGAAAAATCATTACGCAAACAGAAAGGGAGAAGGAAATATTTGCAGTCGTCAGAAGTGAAAGACTGAAAATAACAAATAAAAGATCAAGACTTCCCAGCGAACTTTCAATTATTTTAAATGTCGTTGTGAATAATTACAACATCGAGAGTGCTTCTTCAGTTGATAAAGCAAATGCCATCAACAACTGTTAGAGTAAATAATATACGGTCATAACGACGGATGACAGTAACGATGCAGTAAATGATACAGAGATTAAAGATGTATGAGAGAAATGGGTAAAAACACTACTCGTCTTCAGCTCTAACGTGCGAGCCGACGCAAACACGAGCGAGCGTGCTCATAACGCGGACACAGTATGTAGTAAAATACTTCAGTGCGCAGGATACTTCATTAGAGTCCCTGCCTCGTCTGCGTTTGATGTTCGAAGAGCTTTCGCGAATCATTGTTTAATATTAATGCAGATGCGATTCGTAGTTACGTCAAGGAGATGGAACGAGATGAAAGGAATTGTATCATTCGATATTCCCTTGTCAAAATACGATCAACACTGATTAGTTAACGTCAAACAACTAATCGAGCGTTCCGCACAAGAAAATTGTGCTAATATAACTTCATTAATCGTCATTGCTGACTTCAGCCACGCAAATCATAGTCGTAAACTAGCAAAAGTATCTTTTTGAAGAATATTTATCCTGAAGAATAGAAAATCTAAATTTAAAAAACGATATATTTCAACGATTTATTTATTATCTGACGATTCTACTTGTACACGGGGGGGAGAGAATTTTTTCCTACAATTTTTCCTGAAAATCATGTAATCGTGGAACAACATGGCTTCATTTTATTTAAAAAAATTATACATTGTATTAGTAAAATGTATGGTAAAATTTCGAAAAACTCTCATAAAGTTTTTCACAAGTCCATGTTGTCCCACGATTACATGATTTTCGGGGATAAATTTAAGAGAAACTACTTTCCAACTGATTGTTATGTGTCACGCACTCGGCCAAGTTTAATTTTTCTCAATTAAAATTATAAATAGTTAGTGATCCCCCTGGTTAATGCTTGTACTGGTGGGGGCTTCGTGTGAGGGTGTCACTAGCTATAATGTTGCAGAAGCTCAAAGGTGAGCGCAGAAACGGATAATTAAAGATGCGGTGGACTAAACGACGATGCCGTGAGAGCTGTTGGAGGATTTGCGGCGAGAAGAAATCCAATTTTCGGCCAAGTCCAGCACCGAGGACGCGTGCAATTACATCGATTTCTACCAGTAAGCTCGCGCGCCAGCATGGCTGTCCCGTAATTGAATTGGATCAATTGTATCGCACGAATCCTATCATTTCTCCTCCCGATCCTCTTCCTGCTTTTTCCCTTGATCCTTTTTGCCGAACGAAGTCGCACGTCAAACTGTTATTCCGGGTAGCAGCTTCGTGTAATTAAATCCTACATCAGGTAAAGGTTGATCCCATTATGAAAAAGCATCTGGCAAACCGGCGGAAAGCGAGCGACGTGCCATCGCACGTGCATTCTGTTTTCTTGTTATATTTCGCGCAAGCTGGAAAATGCACGCTTGGATTGACCGCAAAGGATCAACCTTCTAGCACGAAGGTGATGCTCCGGCAAGGATTTTCAGAGTCGCCTCCGGAAACCTTTAGGTTGGCGCGAATCTTGTTAACCTTGCTCTCGCGCGCGGGCTAATTTGACGAGCGTACATTAAAGTAATTAACAATCTACTTATACCAGGCTGTTTGCATTTATCGATTAACTTATCAATAATATTACTTTTTCAAACTGAATATTATAGACACTTATAATTGTTACTGATTGACAGACGATTCCAATTCATCTGCATTCATAAAACTCATCGTGCGTACTTTTATTTATAAAAAGCGTACGATTATACGCGGAACAAACCGTAACGTTAATTTAAGTGTTATTGATGAATGTAGAATATTGCTAAAAACACTGATTGTGCGCCGAAACGAACGTTTGAAAAATATCGGGCGAAACCGTGAGCAATAATAACGTATCGCCCAAATTTTCCATGTGTTCGCGGTTCGACATGAAAGGTAAATACAACGAAAACTAATATTTGGCACGTTACGGCAATTAGAAAAATTCTCATACGTTTCCACAAGACAACACATAAAGCGTTACACGATATTGGAAAAATAATAAAACGTCACATCCCGAAATATTCCACGACTATTCCTATCTATTTTTTGTTGGAAAAAATCCATGAGTAATCGCGCGAATAGTCGGAAAAAGCCAAACGAATGTTTATTCTTTATTACACAAAAAAAATTCTGCAGTTTTACTTCATTCCCAACTTTATCGACTTCTTCAACTTTATCAAACACAGTTACGTGTCGAAAGCACATTAAAAATTATTGCAGTTCAAAAGTTAATAACTTTTTCACAATAAGTTTAACCGGAGAAGAGCAAGTGAATTGAAAAATAATTTGAAGACGTAAGACACAAACTTTCATCAAGTTATACGAGACAGGCGCGAGAGGGAAGAAAATCTCGATTTGGGTTGTGAGAAAGAGGGCGAAATAAATCCTGGAAAGTCATAGGTCATGCCATGCAACAGATTGAACGGATTTCTTCACGGGTTCAACCTAGGGGATTCACCCTAAGAGGAATTTAGCGTTTTCGACCGCAAGATGCAAATCCGCGAAAAACCGCCGGCAATGTGAGAATTTTTCTAAATTGTAATTTAAAGTGTATCTTTTTGGACAAGGCAAATTTCATATCAATCAAACGCTGCTTCTTCCATTCGACAAGGAATTTCTTTCGATCTGTGACTAAGAAAGAAAATATTTTCGAAAGAAGACGAAGAGAAAGGAAAAAAAAATTTTTTCGACGGGAAAATAAAGGCGGGATTAATTTCGAAGAAAAATAAAGGAATACAAGGCACACGTCGCTAGAAAATCCGAAATATTTTCTTCGGGAGTGGAAAATTATTCCGGTTGAATGTACGGCAGCATTGCCAGAAGTGAAAATGTTCCGAGAGAAAAATTCGCTATATTTTCGCGCACGAACAAAAGCGCAAGAGGATACAGAAAAATTTGGAAGCCTTCCAGGCGGAAGTATAGTCCAAGTCGCTCGATTTCTCTCAAGAGTTCGTAAACTATAGTTAGATTATAAGAATCTGCGTTAACTAAATAAAAATACGCTGTCGATGAATCGATGATTGAAATATCAATTAACGTTTGCGTCGTTCGTTTAAATTTACATTTTTGACAATTTTATTGTTTTAAAGCAGATATCTACAATTTTTTAAGCGCTTCTCCTAAACTACAAATAAAACGGTGAAAATTGGCGGAAACTGCGCATCTCAAGGTAACCGACGTGCTGAAATTCAGAGATCGACCGCATGACAATTTGACCGGGAAAAGATCACACAAAGTCCGAGTGGAATTTCTCGAAAATTGTCGGACGGAGAATTGCTGGCCGAGGACTCCTCTTTGCTCAGAATCCCAATTTGGACGGAAAATACGACGGAGAGTATTCCGCTTTCTGCGTTGGAGCATCCGCTCGGGCGCGAGATCAACTCATTATATCATCGTCTCTCGACGTCTTGCGGCTCAAGAAAACGTCACGGCCGACCGGAGGAACGTGAGTGTCCTTTCGGAGTGATTTAAGTTTCGCTCGCGCGTTCTCGAGCGCACGGGAGAGGGTACGCATTAAAACGGAATGCCCCGCCTGAACTGATTTGCAAGTTTCGCGTCTCTCATCCGACCCGCAGCCTGCGCGGAAACCAACCCTCTCCTGTAATCCATTGTCCCCACTTCATAATTCAATGACTTTCGGAACTACGTTTCCTGGACTATTTCCTGGACGGGTCTTCTGAATGTTTTATATGATTTTAAGATTACCGCGATGGTGGCAGCCGGCGATAGCGGGCGATACGCTTTTACCGTAATTGGATCTAAATTCTCCAACGGACGAACGAAGTCTAATAATAGCTCCAATTCTCGAACGCGAGCTGTTATTGTATTGGAGCCAATGTTATCCTATTATGGCGAGTTATAAAAGCACTATCGAAGGGAGCGCCAGCAGTGATACGAAATAATTTACAACCTCATAACACGCGGTAATATATCCACCGCAATAGTACTGTAAGAATATTATATAAAAAGATAACGCCTGGGGCAAAGATCTATTTTTTTTAAATGTAATACAAATACGAAACTGACGGCGTCAGATTAAATAAAATATTCAATATGTCAGACACCGTTAATGATCCCTTTTTCTCAAGATGACACAATTTATTAAAACATTTGACGCGACTCAAAAAAGGCAATGCAAACGGTTCGTGCGAAGCAAAGGCGACTGCTTGACTTGCAAAGAGAAGAGAATCAAATTTAACCGTTCGATTACCCCATTTCAACAAGGCGTGTTCGTATGAATTTCGTTTCAATTGCCAATGAACTTCAAATCAATTGGCTGCGGAACCTTTGACGGTAAAAAGGCACGAAATTTATATTATAGAATAGTAGGTACACGAGAGATATTCGACAGAAATACTTATAAGTTACGTATATTTATTA